ACTTATTACTTGTACTACTATTCCTTCTTTGCAGGTTTTCCCTTGCCGCGGGGCTTCAGGGTACGGATCCCCTGTGATATACGAGGAACTACTGTGTACATGTTGGTGGTGGTAATCTTGGATTTTGGCGTGACAACTCCATTTTCGATTGTGACCTTTCGTAGGTCTAGATGTAGCCACGCACCAAACTGGAAGTCAGCTCCTCGCTTATTTTTCAAGCGATCATGCTCACAACACAGACGGACAAAAGGGAATTTCTAAATCCCTCTTTTCACTCTGCGATGAAGTACAAAAAGAAATCTCAGCTACTACCAGCCGAATGGCTCTAAAATTGATCTATGGTCTGTTAGCAATGGCAGCCATCTTGAATTGTGTTAACTCCAAAGGATCATTAGTTGTACATGTGATTACTTTCTGAAATTAACAGACACATCAACACAAACACCGGTAACTACATGATCGCCCTGCCTTCACAGCAGCAGGAATAACTTCTTTATTTCTTATTTAAATCCTGTACGTGTCACTTTCATCACTTTATTCTGTCTAAACATGTCTCACTTGAAAATGAGTTTTCGAGGCTCAATGTGACTTATCTGTGTAAATAAAACTTGAATGAATTTGATGCTAAACACATCCAAGCAAAAATTTGTATAAATTAAACTCATTTTTAGTGCATCTAAACTCAGAGAACCCCCCCCCCCCCCTCCACTGCACCCACATGTTTGTCTTTTCTGTTACTGGCGTTACTGGAAGCCGTCCCCTCCCTGACAGACAACCTTTCCTCCAGGGACAAACTTTGATTTCCACAGATCTACAAGTCCCATCCCTCCCCTCTTTGTTTGTCTCAGCAGATACATCCAGCAGGCTGTTTCCACTCGTTTTTAAACTAATCCCATGTAATCTGGACATGTCCGCGACTCGTACGGCGCTGTGAGATGAAGAGCAAGACGAGGAAGGTTGAGTCAGGCCCGTCCAGTCAAGCTAATGATGTTCCTCCCAGGATGGACGTCTACGCTCCCTCCATCTTTTAGCTGAACATCTGTCAGTGTTTGCATGTGGTTCTTCAGGTTTGAATTCAACAGCATTTCTTTGATTTTGATTATAAAAAAGTAGCATCAGGGTCTAAACGTCTGTATTTGTATGGCTCATTAACTGTTGGAGTAATTCAAGATGGCCGTCACAGCTAACGGACCACAGCAGGTTTTGTTTGTTGTTAGGTGGAGGAATGAAATGAACATCTATTGTTTGTGGTTGAACCCTTGTTATCGTCTGACAGTTCCTCGGTCTTCTTAGGATTCGTTGTTTTCGGAAGATATAATAAAACAGATGATGTGATCAGCTGACGAGCTGCAGCTGAACTGACACACTAAGGTCCAGAGACCAGTGAGGTTCTCCACGAGGCTGACGAGTGTCAGACAGACCTGCTGTGTTCGTTTCATATGACAGTTCACCTCTGAACTCCAGAGAGAGCTGCTGCAGAGGAGACAGAGCTCACACACCTGTCTGTCTGCTGCTGGGACATCTGTCTGTCTGCTGCTGGGACATCTGCCTGTCTGCTGCTGGGACATCTGTCTGTCTGCTGCTGGGACATCTGTCTGTCTGCTGCTGGGACATCTGTCTGTCTGCTGCTGGGACA